AGTATGGATAAAACATCTTTCGGAATTACCAGCTTACATTTTTCACTACCATTAATAAGAATACTTCATATTTATATGAACGAATTTGTACATAGTGAAAATTATGGTATACATTGTTAATTTTAATGGAATGCGATTCTTTTTCATGTTTCCCTTATTCTTTTTAGTGTACCTAAATTTATTTATTTCTTATAAATTTTTATATGAGTTTTTACTCAAGCCAGACTTATATTTAGAACACCAGAGTCCTGCTAATGAGATCTTATTGGGACTGGACCCTGTTTGGACTGCCAGAATCTAACAAAACTGTCTATAAAATGGAACAATTTATTTTTTATTAGGGATGGGTCGTTTGTTGGTTTTTCCTAGCAAATATCCGAAAACCGAGAATTTACATAAAAAGTTTGTTTTGATTTATCGTTTAATGTGCAGTCATTTAGCCGCGATCGCTAGTTGATTAGGAGCACATAAAAGGTTTATCAGATGTTTGTTTACGACTTTCATAATTAATTACCAGGGCAATTATTATGAAATCCAAAACCTATTTATCATGGAAGTAATAGTTTTTCACCACAGTACTTTGTTAAGGGACTTTCCACACATGGATTTAGTCCGGAAACTAGCTGTTTGCCGCCTGCTTAATCAAATAGGGTTTCATTACGTACTACTTGGTAGCTTAAAAATTGAAAAGTGCTAAAAAAAAATCGAACCCCGTTAAATAGTAACGAGGTCTGTAGACGAACGGACACTTAAAATTTGAATGACGTCACGGAAAAAAGTGAAGAAGAATCAAATATAACCTTGCATAAAAAAATTGACAAAGATATTAGTTCGGGAGACACAGAAAATAAAGCTTATAGTTCCACTAGCCTGACTTTTGAAGAAAAAAGTTCGTCAAATCAACAGGATCAAATTCGAAATCATGATGGCAATGATACCAATTGCAAACAAGTTGGAAATGGAAATAGGAGGAAATGAAACTGGTCTATGTTTAATTAAGGACATCAACAGAATGTACCTAATGCAGAGATCGGTGCTATGAAGAAACTACAAAAAATTGGCGAGTTATGCGTCTGCTGTAAAGAATAGCGTGGATGCAACGATCAAGAGGAAGAATTTCATAAAAAAACATTGTCTGCACACAAGAATCAAGTATTGGTGGGCTCATCTGAGGGCAGCGGTCTAAGGGGAGCTAAAAATGCATGGTTTCATCTTGGAAAATTGGTTAAAGGCACAACTGAGAAGGATATCCGCAGTTTCGTTAACAAAGTCTTCCCTGGTGTTGAGTTTGTGATAGAAAAATTGACCGCTAAAGGGGCCAACGATGGTTTCAAATTGAGCTGTGATTTTGCCTATATGACCAAAGTAATGGACAGTGCCATGTGGCCGAAGAATATAAGCCCTCAAACGTTTTTTATTTTGGAGGGTGGGTCAAAACCCAGACTGTTGTTTGTCACCTCTTACCGCTGAGTACAATATTCTAAAAGTAGTGGGTTTAAGTGTACAGTGTATTAGGACTAAGTTAAATGTGCTATCTCTATTTATTAATGAAGTTAGGCCTGACATTTTTTGTGTTTCTGAGCATTGGCTGAATATTGACGAGAGCTTATTTTACTCAAAGCTAGAAAATATATGACGTGTGTTTCAATTTTTTTGCAGAAGTAACATAGGACACGGAGGTAGTGCAATTTACCTTGCGGAAAATCTGAACAAATCCGTAAAAACTATAAATTTGAATAGATCCTGTGTGGAACTATTCTTAGAGGTGTGCGGCATCAGTATTCCCGAGTTATCCTTGACTATTTTATCAGTTTACCGTTCCCCTGATGGGAATCTGGAAGTTTTTTTTAGACTTTGAGAATTGTCTTGTGTATCTGTCACTAACTGACTACAAAACTATACTGTGTGGTGACTTTAACATCCACCTGGAAGAACAATCTAAAGAAGAGTGGGTCTTCATTGAACTGCTGTTGCTCCCTGGAAAACAATATATTTGAGAATAAATCGATATTACCATGACATGGTTGTCAAAGCTAAAAGAAATTTCAATGCAAGGTCTATTGAGATGTCTCACAACCCCCCCCCCGAAGGCTGCCTGGGCACTAATTAATCAACATAGAAATTCTGCTAAGCCGAAGTCGAATGCTAGCCCCGACGAGTTTAACAAATTCTTTTTTTATAACATTAATGAAATTGTTGACAATATTAACCTCATTTGTCATACTCTCTTGATAGCGCATCCTATTAAGAGCTGGAAATTGGTTGTGACAAATTTCTACTATGTCAACCTGGAGGCTGGTACTCCTGAAAAAATCTGTCAAATAGTTAAGGGCTACAAAAACTCATAGTCCTGATGTTTATGGTGTGTCCTGCCACCTACTCAAGTCAGTCATTGATGTGATCTCTGTTCCTTTGGCTTGGCTCATAAATTCATGCTTAAGTGAGGGAGTATTCCCAGATGAGTTAAAGATAGCTAGGGCAGTGCCCATTTTTAAGAAAGACCATCCCCAACTTTTGACCAACGATAGGCCTGTTGCCTTGGTTTCAGCCTTTGGTAAGATCATTGAGTCAATTCTCAACGAACAACTGGTGACTCATTTTGAAGGGAACGATCTTCTACTAAATGCCCAGCATGGTTTCCGCAAGGGGCAATCAACCGTATCGGCTGTGTGATCAATAGTTAGTAAGGTTATGGAGGTCTTTGAAGCTGGCTATTCCCTGGGACTGATGTTGTGCAATTTGAGCAAAGCCTTTGACTGTGTTTCTCACGAGATACTTGTTAGTAAACTCGGACACCATGGAATAACAGGTACTGCTCTTAACCCCCTGCAGTTTTATCTGAGAAAAAGAAACAGGTGGTGGAGGTTGAAGGTGCTCACTCAGAAGAGCTTAATTTGCGGTATGGGGTTTCTCAAGGTAGTGATGTGACAACCGATTGATTTCACCAACCGATTATTCACCTGGTAGTTTTTGGATTCACCCAGTTCTTTTAGCCTCAATGATTCACCTGACAGATTCTTCTGGATTGACCTGAAGCTGTTGTGGGGTGAGCACGCAACTCAGGTACAATTGAACCTAAGCTTGAACATAAGCTTTCTAGAGTCCTCTTTTTGCTGAGGATCCTGAAAAATCAGTGCCAGTGGATTTTTTTGGTATCCGCCTATTATGCCCTGTTCCACAGTCACATCTCATATGGGCTTATATTATGGGGACACTCTTCCAAAAGTCAGAATATTCTGCGGCTTCAGAAGAAAGCGGGGAGACTTTTGACTTCGGCAGACCGCTGAGACCACATTAAGCCTCTCTGTTCTCTTAACATTCCCACCATCTTTAGTCAATATCTACTTGACTCCGTCTGCTACGTTAAGGAGAGCATTGGTGATTTTATACAGCGTGATGCAGTACATCAGCACAACACTAGAGGAGCTATCGATCTGTATGTACCAAGATGCAAACTAGCTAAGTCACTGAACAGCTTCCCAGTTCTGGCAGTGAGACTTTTCAATAAACTCCCAGTTGAAGTAAAGCAGGCGAACAATGCCCAGTTTAAAAGACTAGTAAGGGAGAGACTCCTGGCAGACCCCCTATTTGGTGTAGACGAGTTTATGAGGGAACCTTGGAGAGGAGCCAGTCGCAATCCAAGATAGCCTAGATAAGCAGGTGACACAGCCTATCCAGATCATCTGGTAATCAGCGACACAGTGGTAATTAAGGTAATTACTGTACAGTAATGAATTTTACCGGACAGCAGCTGATAATTGGTCATCTATTAACATAAACATAATTTCTCAGAGAAGTTATGAGTAGTGATTGTTAAGTCCTATAGTTGGTGGGAATATATATAAAAGATTTGTACAGTTTTCATTATAGTTAGGTTAGTTTAGAGTAGGTAGAATAATTACGAAGAAATATTGTTCATCACTCGTCCAAAAATAATGTGTTTACCATACTCTTATGGTAAGCCATGTGTAAATCTTATGTGTTTACCATACTGTATGGTTCTTGTACTCATACAGTAATTTTATCGTGGACAATTTTGGCCCCCACATGAAGCACAAGTTACAATTTTAAATATGTTCTACCTTTGCATGTGTAGAGAGAACACTTCTACTTAAATAAGTGATTTAAGGGGTGAAAACCAAAAAACTGGTAACTAACAACCTATTTAAAAATAAAACAACTAATAAATCAGCAACCGACCCATCACTAATTTCTTTGGCTGTTAATTAATGACTCCATAATCGTATCCTGCAATCGTAGTAACATTATTGATCATCAATTATTTAAGAGAGGGACGCGCCACTAGGTGTGTATTTTAACCCAAATATGAGTGTAGGATGAGTGGCGTGATCTTGTAATCTTGTTAGTGACTAAGGGTGACATGTTCATCTCCCGTTGTCGTTTTCTTTTCACTTCGTGATGACTTTAAAAGAGAATCAATGGAACACTGTTAATGAATTTGTTATTGGTTTATAAGCTATTGGCAATTTTATGCTGGAATTCCTAGTTCCACACAAAATTCTTGTACAATTTACAGACTTTTCCTGGTCATTAACATTCTTGAACAATTACCAGTTTTCCCAGTTTGATGGATGCCCAGGTTAGTATTTCAGAATCTGCATCTTGTGGCTTTTTAATAATTTAAAATAATAAAGTAAACTCCCCCCCCCCCCCCCCAACAGGTGGTTCAGCTAATTAGGGTTTAGTTTAGAAAGACTCTTGTGTACTAGCCATTCAACACTACACTATCAAATCTAGTTATTTTACTTGGGCAATTAATTTAGGCATATCTAATGTTTAAATATTCATTAAGAAATAAAGTACACACAAACTAATTGCATTCTTTTAATTTATGTGTTTATTTTTTAATATTTAACAACAACTCACTGATAAATTCTTGAACGCATTATCATTGTGTTATCATGGATCTATGAAAACCTGTGTTATAAATTTCATGGCAATGTACCATGACCTGTATCTAATGTGTGTACACTGTACAGGTTGAAGACTAACAGTGATCGTGGAGAGCTACTATCTCACCTGATAGACACATGGCACTACCTAGCAGACAACGACCAGGCATGTCTAGTGGAAGCGGTCGAGCAGCTCTCAGTCAATCCCGAGCTAAACATCACTGTTATCAAAGCACTACGTGAGGCAGCCAATAAAATGAAATCTTCAGTCGACCACTCCAAATGTCATGCTCTTATTTTTGTTGAAAACAAATTACTTTCATTATACTCTAGGTAGGTTCCACAAAACCTTTTTAATTTTGGGTGCTGCTTAGTTAATGTACCGTACTAGTTTTACCCTAAGTTCTTTTACCTTTCCGCATGGGCATGCCCAGCTGGCTAAAAGACTAGCTTGGTAGGCTACTTAAAGGTTTGATTTAGTTTTGGATAGGAATATTAGGCTTACCTGCACAGTGGGTGGGTCTTCTCAATAGTTAACACATAAATACACACAGAGAAAATGGAAATATTTCATTGTCACCGATCACTTTGTTAATCACAGTGGGCAGATTTTTTTCAGGATATCAAAAGCAATGCAAATTTTTAAGTTTTTTCCATTCAAACTAAAAAGTGGTTAATTGAGAAGCCAAATATGGATTTTTTAAATAGTGTTCTAACATAACAAATTGTTTTCTGTAAATCTATTCAAATGTATCGTTTTGTAGTGTAATTATCGAATCTGCATTGTATGTTTTATTTGAGTAGTGATAAAAAAATTAAAAAAAACCAAGCATTGGTCATGGAATACACTTGTGGTGCACTCCTGGCACCCATGGTACCATTTTCAAATCAACTCAAATCAATATTTTACTGTATACGTAACCAAATTAAATCCTATAGAATCATTTATGTTAAAATCAAATAATCAAAAAAAGTGTCTTTTACAAAAAAAAAAAGAGAGAAAAACCGACCAAGACTAAACTGCAAGCTCATTGAGCCTTCCACCATTTTCACCTTTACCTACAAATCAAAATACCCTAAAACGCAAAATAAAAAAGATCAATAAAAAGCCCTTCTTCTCCTGAGTCTAGATTGCGAACGATTCCGTGCGCCAGGTTTGCTAGTGTTGTTTAAAAAGGCAGGGGTGCCCACAAGGGGGGGGGGGGGGGCTGTGACGCAGACTGCATCATTGAAATTCTTGGGGGGGGGGGGGTTTCCTAAAAATTCAGGTTGGCTAAAGTTGATTGCAACAGGGTTTAACGTGATGACAATCAAAAATATATTACGAAGTCACCAGATAGAGAGTTGATTAATTAATGACAATAGTTATATTACTGAATTTCAATTAGTTAAAATGTTTGTCTCGTTAATACAATTAAGTAGCGTAGGCTACAATACTTTACACTATTGTGTAGATACTCGATTACCTGAGTTAATAGGAAGGGGGGGGGGGGTAATGAAAACTACGGTTAATCCAATAGTATAAAAACAGATGATAAACCCATTAAAACGCTGTAAACAGCCTTTAACGTCACAATTTGCATTTTTATCAACAAAATTCAATATTGCACAATCATTATTATTGTGCAATAATGACGTTTCAAATCATTTATCTTGGTTCAGTTGTACAAACGTTTAAAAGTATAGCTCACTCAATCTCAACTAATAACCAGCCAAACACTGCATTGCTTTAAATAACCTAAATAATAAAACATTAGAAAGTTTTGTAAGCTACTGCTCATGATAGACAGATAGGCTACCGGTAGGTGCTGTATAACAACTTAGGAATTGTTAGATAAGTTATAAAAAAGTGTAAAATTATAATTAGAGATAATAAACACACACTCTTAAAAACAATGTAACGAGAACAATCTTGTTATTCTTTTTCTTTGTTCTCCTGTTCTTTCTTAGGTTTCTCTTCAATTCATACACAAATTCAACAAGTCGCCATATTTACTCATTGCCCAATCACAGCCTACTAAAGTCACCATGGTTACTAATCACTCAATCACAGTTTACTAAGCATTATATCGTCATCATTCCCCTGCTGTTGTATCTGAAATCTGTTGTTACATAGCGCACAGCAGACAGAAGTGTAAAACGGAGCAGACGATTGTTGGCGCAAGCGTTGAAGTCATTTTTCCATTTCATTTTCACCAAAGGAGCTGTGATGTTTCCAAAACGATTATATAGGAGAAGGGGGCGTTATATCAAGAGAAAGACACTGACTGACAATTCGTTAAGCAGAGGTTACGAATGGATGTAGATATTCTGGCAATAAAAATTTCCTTAAATTGAGGTGACTTATAAAACTCTAATTTTATTTATATAGAAAAGTATGATAAGTTTCCCAGTCCTGTACAACACTGATTCACGGTCTTTTTCCTAGTAATCAAAATTCAAGTACAACTTGGTACACACAGAATCTCCGTTTCCCGACCTGGATGATGGCTAGTTATTTAATTTAATTTACAGTTACATATTAGTACCTGTGATAAATCAAACCCGTTATGTAAGCCACACGGTTATTAATCTCACTTGATTTTAGAATTTAAAGTCCCGTTTACACGACCCGATCCTGACCGCCCTTTCCCGTTCCAGGTCCCGACCGCCCTGTCATCTGGTCGACAGAGCGTTGTCACGACCCGTTCTCTGCGCCCGATCTGAGCTCAGTGCGTTGCTTTCCTTCGTTGGAGAACGTCTTCATTTTAGATTTTATAAAGTAGTCGGTTTCTTGCATCTTTATTAAAATACAAAGCTTGAGAAGTGTTCCACAACAGTTTGTAAGATTTGTACACTTCGATCATTTTCGTCAAAATATCTTTTACCTTCTGTGGAGTAGATTTCGTCATCTCAAAACTACGAACAAAACTTAAAAGACAATTCAGACACTCATATCAAGGTTGGACTGAGAGATTTGCCTGGTGTAGAGCTTCGGAATTCACATTCGTTCCCAGCGGAAGTGAGCTATCCCCACCCTTCCTCCCTAAATCCGATGGAAATCCTTCCCTACCTCCCTACCCGATCGCCAACCAAATCGTGACCAGGAGCACACGTTTACAAACGTGATCGGAAATGGTTAGGGCCTACACAGTAAACAACTTTTATGTAAACATGTCAGTGACAGCTAGAAAAAGGAATCTTTATCCAAACAGCTGTTTGTAATTTCATATATGACGTATTCTCTTAACAGATGATTAGTATTTCATAAATGAGGTATTTAGTAAACATGGAGAGAAAAAACCTCACAAAATTGGGTTTTTTATTGTCTTTTATTTTATTTCCAAAATAGTGAGGCCATACTTTAATGGCTAAGGACACTCTCGATAATCCTGTCAATACAATTAAACTATTAGAATCATAATCGGTACTTTAGTTTTCTTTAGAGTAGGCTGTGTAAATTGCCTTCTGGATTAACTGGGCTTGAATTTTCAAAATCTAAAAAAAAACCTATAAATCTTCTTTTAGTTTTACAAATAATGCTGGGCGGGGGAATAATGTTTCATATTTGTTGTATACCTCATTTATGATGCGGGGGCTGGGGCTTAATTGGAGGGAGGGGGGTGCGTCATGAGTCTAGGTGGGGGATGGGCTGAAAAAAATCGATTTTTTTTTTTCAAAGTTCTAATAGTGCGGAAAAGTTGCAAATCATACAGACAACAAAAAAGAAAGAAAAATTATCAAAATCGGTTAACATTTTCCAGTCGCGCATAGGCCCTGATGTTTGAAAAAAAAATAGAAAAATCACGGTCTTCTTTTTAATTCTATTTTTTTTAATTAATGTTTACGTAATGTAATAGTTTGTAACGTCTTCTGAATGAGCCTTAAAACATTGTGTTTTAGTTTGGTTTATATTAATTGATATCTTCCGGTCCCGCATAAATCCCACAGTTTACCAAAGTATTGGAAAATTTCACATTTTCACGCATTTATTGAATTTGATAAATAATATTGATAATTAGTTTTTTTATATGTAATGACCATAGTAGGCTAACTTTTTAAATGGAACTGATAGTGAGTCACTTGTGTAGCCGGGTTGAACGACCTCTCCCCTCCATTCCACCCCCCCTACATTCCTAAGATCTCGCCACGCGTCTCCCTCTCCTTATAGTTTTGTCAGTGTGCTTCTGTCAGTTGTGATTGCAGTGTCTCACTGTTTAGTTAAATATCAGTTTTTTGTTTTGCAACTGTTTTGGTGTTTTGTGTATCATATTGTTGTGTATTGCTGTTGACATGACTGTGTGAATATCGATGCAATTACGTCATGGCTCTGCCGAAGAAAGTGATAACAAGACAGAGATTCGACTGCCCCATTTTTGCTACTCCAAAAGATCTCCCAACAAACAAGCTACCTACTGGCGAGAAAATCATTCGGGGTTGTTCTCAAGAAAGGTTTAATCTAGCATTAAGAATTAATAATAAGAGCGTGAGTTTCAAACAGGTTACCAGTACAGTAACTAACAAAGTAATTAGCTTATATGAAAAAGCATCTATCCCTACAGTTACAGAGACAAGAATTACGCAGCTCATAACTACATTGCATGATAAGTATTGTCGCCAAGGAAATCATATACACGAGACAAAAACAAGGCTTCTTTTAAAAAACGTGTTGATGATTTTAAACAAAAGTGCTCACTTATTTTTGATGTAGCAGCCTGCAAATGCCCAATCGCTGTTGAATGCACTTGCAAAAAAGTCCTAGATCTGTGCCAGTGCAAAGTCACTATTGATTGTAGATGTGAAAAATCAAAGAAAATACCCCCAATTGAACTAAAATTTTTATACTTAATGCGAAAGTACGGATTAGGGAAAATTGGCCCGGTGGACATTAGTGAAACAAACAAGCGTAAGAAAGCATTGGAAAGGAAGTCAAGAGACAGACATGGAAGAAAAACAACCATCTTTGTTTGGTATAAACTCTAAAAATACAGGCTACATTTTCATAAGGTAAAACAAATGCAGTATTGAAATAACTTTTGACCATTCACCAACACACAAAGATTAAGTAAAATTTTTGGTAGAGACAAAAGTCTTATTTTATGCTAGCCTAATACTTCTTACTAGAGAACCTGTGCGGCTCAGTGAGTCGCATAGTATGAAGCATAACGCCAAGGAAAAGGTTATGCTTAAATTCGAGTAATTCTAGTTACATCTTCGAGTTGTTTAAACACTTCAACAATTGTTAGAAACTAATTTTAAATATCTCTATTTGCGTTGTCAAGGTTTAACTACATACATTATTTCTGCTCTCAGTTTTAACTGATAACTTCTCTTCTAATGAATGCTAAACGATCTTCTTCAATTCGAGTTAAGATTTGAATGGCAATTTTCATTATCTCTTTTTGAACAGCGTATATTATTTGCCTCTACTGAATCATAAAACTAAACTTGACCGTAACTACTCGATCGATGAATAAATAAACTCTAATTCTTTCACTTATGTTTGGTCTAATATTGGCACTAAAACTTTCAATAGCAAATGAGTTTTTGAAACTTCTTATTTTTGACTTGAAATTTCTGGATTGTGTTGGAGAATTCAGATCTGACATTAGGCAAGTTTACTTTACCACCATGACAACACTATGTGCTTCGTATATTTTTTTCACTTCCAAAGTAAGTTGAATAGCATAACTGTCAAATATTATTCATCTCACCAAGTGAATGTGTATCTGGATGGGTATGTGTCAGACCAGGCCTCTCTTTTTCTACTCTCCTCATACGCATAAGATATCTTATTATTAATTGTCTCCTCCTCCCGTTTTAATATTTCTTCTTTGAACTTGAGGCATTTTCTGTTCTTCCAACAAAACTGATTAACTGTTTAACTTGGTCTTAACCTACTGAATGTTACAAACATTAATATTTACTCCCAAAAAGCTAATGAGTTTCTTTTTATAAACAGCTGTTTTTATTTTTATATTTGTTCTACGTATTTCTTGTGGGGAAAACCCGGCCTTTTGAGAGGGTCTCACGCCCTTCAGAGTAGAAATTTTAAAATTCTAAAACCTTATTGCAAAACTTCATACTGAGACGAATCTTATGACACCTTAAACGTTGAAATTGGTCCACAAATAAGGGAGGAGTTGTGTTAACAAAAAAAAAAATCGGCTTCACGTATTATTTATATATATATATATAGATATAGATATAGATATAGATTTATTTCTGTATGACTTGTGCTTATTGAAAAACTAATATTGCAAATAGTGTTTCTTGTGTATAAAAAAGGAAAATGTATTAAGGATTGATTTGATGTGTAGCCGAGATGCGGACGACCTGGGAGCTGCTGATATCTTGTTTCTCAATATATTAAATGAAGGCTACCATCGACAACACGTGACTGAAGCAGAGGCTGAGAGTGACCTGGAGGGCAACTCTAGTGAAGAGTTCTACAGTCCACCTTCTAGTCCTGTCAGGATAACTACGAACAGTGGCAGTAAGTATCATGAGGAGCTGCTGATATCTTGTTTCTCAATATATTAAATAAATTAAGGCTACTGTCGACAACACCTGATTGAAGCAGAGGCTGAGAGTGACCTGGAGGGCAACTCTAGTGAAGAGCTCTACAGTCCACCTTCTAGTCCTGTCAGGATAACTACCAACAGTGGCAGTAAGTATCATGAGGAGCAATGGCCTCGGCAGAGTTCCCCCAAAGCCGCAGCAGGGCACTATCCAGTCGCCATCCGGCACTACTACGGCCAAAGAGATTTTCGCCGGATGATAGGGCAGCCAGGTCATTGCCGGCTAAGCTGACCCGGGCCCCTGTACTATCTGGCAGCCTGGGATGTGCAAGAAAGACCCAGTTTTTAAGCTGTACCCTCTACCTGAACGGACGTCCAACGCATCAGGAGACAGAAGGACACGGAGCCATACACAACAATAGACCAGAGTGATTTAGAAAAAAGATTGGTTTATTGATTTTAAGCGGGAAATGTTGGTATGCACAGGAGACGCTAAAAGAATTGGTGCGCTCCCCTCCCCCCCCCTTAAGTCAACTCTTACGACGAGCAGGGGATACTGCGGTCTATTCTAATGCCGGAGCCGCACAGCGGTGTTTCTCAATATATTAAATGAAGGCTACCGTCGACAACACGTGAAGCAGAGGCTGAGAGTGACCTGGAGGGCAACTCTAGTGAAGAGTTCTTCAGTCCACCTTCTAGTCCTGTCAAGATAACTACAAACAGTGGCAGTGAGTATCATGACATCGTGCTGACTCTCTCCACTGAATTTGATTTTTTTTTTTACTGTGGAAAAATGTAGATTGAGCTCAAAACTTATACTCAATTATTTTATTATATTGTATTAGAAGTTGGAGTAATGTAAAAGTGGGTCGTAAACATACAGAGAACGATTCTAGTAATCATTGTCTCTGCTCAAATTAATTTTGCTACACAAATCACAGAATTTCCAGCTACCACCCTTTATTGAGAGTAGGCCAGAGGATCTTACCTTACCTCCTTGGCCACTCAAAACTAAGAAGGTTTTTGGAATCCCCAACAAGGTGCCTCCACTGCTGCCAGTCTGCCCCCATTCTGTGTAGATCCTTCTGGACTTGGTCTTTCCACTGCAGCTTCGGTCTTCCTAGTGGGCGAGTGCCTCTTGGTTGTCCATTGCTGATCTTCTACAGTATACTTCCTTCTTCCCTTCTTTCTACATTGCCTTCCCATCTTAGTCGCCTACTCGTCACGATGCCTACAATATCCAGTTCCTTGTACAGTTCTCGGAGCTGTTGGTTTTTTTCTTATTCTCTAGAAGATACATGACTATAAATCAGAAAGCATTATTATTCAGCCCATTGTAAATTACCATGGATAAAACATACTCCCCCAAGTAGATTTCTCATCCTTATGGAATAGCTGAAGACAATTTTATTGTTAGTTCTGTACGGTTTATGTAGAGGTCGTGTTTTGTTTACAATTTGTTTCCCGTCATTACAGTAATTTAAAACCTCGTTTAACCAAATAATACAACCTAATCATAAAAAATAACTTGTCTCCTAGTTATATAACCAAACAGTAAAGCACAAATCAAGAAATTAACCCTAAAATATTAGAAACAAAATGTTGTCGACACTAGCGCCCAGTGTCACTGTACATGAACTAGACGCAAAAAACGTGCGTCAAAATTTACAATGGGATGAAAATTCTACTTGTGTTGGCTAGTCTATGAAATTACTCTCACTCTAAACTGTTATAGTTTGTTTTAACTAATAGAACTGAACAATGATGATTTTAAGTTCAGTAGATAATTTGTATTACAGCCTGCAAAAGATTACAGTAGGCTATGCATACATTAAGGAAGAAGTAATGAAGACACAACTCTAGGGTAGTTTTTAAGTATGGACCATATTATTTTGTATAACTTCTTAGTTTGCGTGTACTCACAGCATACTGGCATCATTTCTGAACAGAACAGAACTGCGCCATTTTGATTGTTACAGATACAAACATTGTGAGTTTTCTCATTGCAGCCATAGAGACCAATCAATATTTACTTTTAAAATCTTCACCTTAGAACTTTGAAAGCTATTGGGGTAAAGTCTTTGGTCAGTATCAAAGCTGACTAGTCCTAAACGGATCCTGGGTATAGTAGCTATATTTTTGTAAAATTTAAGCCCAGTTTTTATGTGATTGAGTAAAACACAGGCGGACACCATAAGATTTTTATATAATAGTAACATATATACACACATATATATATATATTAAAGTATTGTAGTAAATAAGTACAACTGAGCACCCTCAGTTAGAATATCATATTTTTAAAGAAGTGACATGTTTAGGACATAAGTCCATTTTCAAACTTCAAATTCATTAAATACTTAACTGTTGTTTACATTGTTTGTTTGTATATAAATAAACTCGCCTTTGGCTCGCTGGGGGCTCCGCCCCCAGGCCCCCTAGCTGTTAGTCGTCATTAGTAGATTAGAGTTAAGTTGTAACAAAGCAAGAAGTGAAACCGTCAATATTAAGTTATATAAGTTAACTTTGAGTAAGATAACTTCTAGCTTAAGGAACACCTCATAAAAAAATCATTTTTTAAGTTGCGGTAAGTGAGTATGTTAGTCAAGTATTTTTACAATTGAGTTTTTGGTCAAAGGAAGTAATAATATGAGGAGAGAAGGGTTCGTTATAGTAAAAATCGACATTAAAGTAATAACGATTTCATGAATTTATTAGAGGAGATTGATAAGTTAATAAGTTGATAATAGTAAAGTATTATATGAAGTAAATAGATTATAGTAGATATTCAAGTATATAATTACGAAAATAGATTAAGTAAGGTTTGTTTCCCTGTCGGTTAGCCATAAACTTTATGGCATATCCAGTTCCGCCACGAGGAGGCCAGGAAACGTCGGAACCATATTTGCAATTATTTGAATATGTACAAGTTAGTAAACTTTTGTACAAGATAAGTAAATTTATATTGATGTTCATTGATAGGTTAATAAGTTGATAATAGTAAAGTATTATATGATGTGAATAGATTATATTAGATATTCATGTATATATGATGTAAATAGAAAATAGATTATAGTAGATATTCATGACGTATATATTTATGAAAATAGATTAAGTAATGTTTGTTTCCCTGTCAGTTAGCCACAAACTGTATGGCATATCCAGTTCCGCCACGAGGAGGCCAGGAAACGTTGGAACCATATTTACAATTACTTACAAATGTACAAATTAGAGAACTGTTGTATAAGATGAGTAGATTGATTAGTATGTCGATTGATAAGTGAATAAGTTGATAATAGTAAAGTATCATATGAATTAAATAGATTATAGTAGATATTCATGTATATATTTATGAAAATAGATCAAGTAATGTTTGTTTCCCTGTCGGTTAGCCATACAATTTATGGCATATCCAGTTCCGCCACGGGGAGGCCAGGAAACGTCGGAACCATATTTACAATTATTTACAAATGTACAAGTTAGTAAACTTTACTAACTACTTTATACAACAACGGGGACTTTTGATAAGGCAGGCCCCCTATCGTACTGCCGATGTTGTCAAGTCACAACGGGGAGTTTTGATTAAGCAGATCCCCTAGCCTACTGCTAATGTCAAATCAGGTTTAGAGAAGGAGATCGCCATACACGATGTTCTTTGCGTATGCGATTCCATCTCGGACACGTTCGGGGTGTACGAGAACAACAATATGGTCTGGATGTCTGACCCTACTGAGCAAGACGTATAGTTGCCCGTGCGTGAAGCAATCGGTCCGTAAATCAACACCGACTGAATCTATTGTCTGACCTTGGCTCTTGTGTCCGGTCATGCAATAGGCCAACATCAGTGGGAACTGACGTCGACGAACACGTAACGGCGAACCCTCGACAAACGCAAAAGTAAAGGTAATCCGGGGAATTCCGATAGGTTGCGTCTGTCCGGGAAGTCTCACTGTAATCAGGCGGTTGGTGATGCCGATTACGATGACTTTAGTGCCGTTGACGAGTCCTTCAGCGATGTTGAGGTTCCTCATAATGAGGCAAACAGAACCGATCTTCAGCCGCAGAACATGGTCTGGTACGCCCTTGCCAGTAGCCGTGTTCAGGAGTTGAACGTCGACATCCAGGCCATCGTCGTTCTCTCTGTCGACTGTGTCGGCGCTCCTCAGCTCGTACAGATGACCGTCGAGGGAGTTCAAGATGTGGTCGTTGATCTCCTTGACGTTCACTATCAGAGTCGAGAGGATTGCGCGTCGCGAACACATATCAGAGTCGAGTAGGACGTTTGCGGGAAAGACGGAATCGACCAAATCAGTCAAAGACGTCACTTGTCTAATCCCGAGCAGCGGAATTAGACTTTGTTCGTTCTGTCCCTCCAAGAAAGTGGTCGAACTGACAGTTCCGTTGCCTACCCTAAGAAGGAATTCGGAATAGGCTGTGGAACTACTAGTCCGATGAGCTGTTGTCAGGGCAAAAATTTTGAAATGCTGCCACAGATGGGAAGCCCGAAGTGAGACACAAACAATGTCAGTTGGAGTACGAGCGTTTACAACGACAGGCGCGATCTGGCGAAAGTCGCCACAACAGAGGAATATTTTACCACCGAATAGCTCACTGGAACGCATGAGGTCTCGCAGGGATCTGTCAAGAACCTCGAAAACGAACCGATGTGCCATCGGGGCCTCATCAAAGACAATGAGCCTTGCGGCCCTGATGAGCTCTGCTCGCTGGGAGCCGTTGGTGATGTTCCAAAAGCCGGTGCCGTCACCGAAGTCGAGTGGCAACCGGAACATGCTGTGAGCTGTAGTTCCACCAGGCATGTTACCCGCGGCGATCCCAGAGCTAGCGACTGCCAGTGCAACCTGACGACAACCTCTCACGTATGCGAGAATGACACGAATCAGAGTGGTCTTCCCATAGCCTCCCGGGCCGTCAAGAAAAATGATTTTCGACGACGTTCCGCTGGCAGGGGCATTGAG